CAGTGATTCCCTGAGCCAGAACAGCCAAGTGCCGAGCCCATGCAGTGATTCCATGAGTCCATGCAGTGATTCCATGAGCCCATGCAGTGATTTCATGAGTCCATGCAGTGATTCCATGAGCCCATGCAACAATTCCATGAGTCCATGCAGTGATTCCATGAGTCCATGCAGTGATTCCATGAGCCCATGCAACAATTCCATGAGTCCATGCAGCGATTCCATGAGTCCATGCAGTGATTCCATGAGTCCATGCAGTGATTCCATGAGTCCATGCAGGACCATGGATGCCACTTCCTTACCTGGGAATGACTGCTCTGAGCCTGCTTTGATGTCACATCACTTCAGCATCAACCCCAGCCCCTCACTGCAAGTGCTCTGTTCTGCCAGGGTCTTCTGAGTCTGCTTGTGCTGGTTTCTGCCAAAAGTAGGAGGTGGTGGAGCAGTGAGTCAGTGCTGATGGCTTCTCCCTCTGCACAGATGGGCAGCCTTCTGCAGCCAGCACCAGCTGCAAGGCCCAACACGGAGGGTTTTGTCTGCAGGGGCTTGGGAGCAAAGCTCTGAGCCTTTAAATTCACATCCAGACCAGTATCAGTGACTGCTGACCTCCACAGGGCTGGGAATTTCCACAGCACCCAGCTCCATCTGGAAGGCTCCCAGCAAGGAGCTGAGGTCTGGTTTGGAGCTGAGCACTCTCTGGGAATTTGGATGGAGCTGTTTGGGAGCCACTGAAGGAATCAAACCGAGCTGCCAAATCTTGGGCTTGGTGTGAAGCTGATCTCCCTCCCAGCAAAGGTGATGGGGAAGATGGACTGGGGCTGGCAGCAGCTCCCTGTCATCTCCCATTTGTGAATGAAGACCTAACTCTGGCGGCAGTTGCCATCTGCATCAGCCTGCTTGGACATGGCCATGGCTCCTCACAGCATCCAGCAAAAACAAGACAGCCAAGACAAACACTTGGTTCCAAAATTTCTCACAGCTGACATATTGCTCATCTGAAGGCCAAGGAACCTCCTGGTCACTGCTGACTGCTCCAAAATGGGACCAATGACCAACCCCATCTCTCCATTGTTCTTGACCTCACATTTTCTTGCACAAATACACGGGAGGTTGAAACACGTGAATGCTCATGCTATGAGAATATGAGAGCAGAGAATGTTTTGGCTACCTGGCTACTTAAAGTCTATTAATAATTCTGATGGTATTTAAAAAAAAAAATAGGACACAGATTTTTCCTTCTCTGTCCGTGCCTGATGGTTTATTCTCTTCTTGCACTTTCATGGAATTGCATTCTTGTCTCCATGGAGTTATCAATACTGCCACCCAGTTTTCTTTCCTGAGTGGGTAATACCCATCAGAGTCTATGATTACATATGTATGGTTAATTACTCTTTCCCATGTTTATTATTTGGGACTTACCAGCACAGAATTTCCCTGGAGTTTACCCTGCAGTCACCAAGAGTGAGGATTCATTCTCTTCCCTTGACACAAATCTTTAGGTTAAACCATCTCATGTAATTGTGTGATACCAGCAAGCTGTGGCACCTTAGAAATCCCCTTCTTTTCTTGTCTGTTCCTCAAGAGTTTATCTAGACCTTTAGGGGATCCTGCTTTGTAACCTCTCTGTAGTGAAAAATGTTTCTGTATTTTCTCTCCTTACTTTAAACAATTAGAAATCCCTGACAGGGCTTTCATCTTACACCGTAATAAAGTAATTTATTTTAAAAATGATTGCAATAAAACTGCTAAAAAAAAATCTTTCTGCAGTGACTGATTTTCCACAGTCTCTAGTATATCCAAGTATCCCAGGTGATCCTTGCCAGTTTGCCTGCTACAGAAAGAAGAGCTGCCAGGCTTTGATTTCCAGGGCACCTCCTCCCTCTCCCAGCTCCACAACCACACTGACCCAGACTCATCCAACCCACACTCACTTTTGTCTTGTCTCCAGCACTGGCCAGAGTGAACATCTAGGAGAAGTACAGGAGCAGGATGAGCATAAAGTGATGTTTCCTCCGATTCTCTCTCAGCCTCCAATAATTTTCCTCTTGGGAACTTCCTGAGCTAAATACCTGCAGATAGTTGGAAACCCTCAGTTGCTGCTTCCCTCTGGTTCTCTTGAACACACATAAAAGGTTGTCATTCCCAATTCCACCTTATCTACAGCCTTTTGCCTCCCCCTCTATGTATATACGTACATATACCCCCTCCACATGCATTAAGGAACCAGAACTGAGGTACCCAAGAAGGATTTATGAGTTGTGGATTTCCATCATGACACAACAGTGTTAAAATCTGGTGCCACCTTTACCACTCTCCGTTCCTCTGCTAAGCATCACCACATCCAGGAGATTTCTTGGTTACGCTTCTGATGCTTATTTTTTTCCTCTTTAAAAGATTCAAATTCAAGCAGTTTGACATTTTCTACCCTGAATGTTTCAGAGGATGCTGGAAAGCATCCAGTACTCATTTTATCACTTTACTTTTTGGCCAGATTTCAGTGTAGCCTTTTTTCTTTTGCACAGAATTAAAAGATCGCACAACAGGTTAGTTTCCCATATGTTTCATTGTTTTAAATAATTAGCTTAATTTAGACTCCTTTTGTGTTCTCCTTTCACAGACTTTGCAATCAATGTGTTTACTAGCAAGTGAAGACATCGTGAATGTATGTGTGTATTAGAGGGTAAATGCAGAAATTACATTCTGAATTCACTGACACGAGCAGTCACCCCTACAACACGGTTTTGAGAGTTTAATCAAGAAACAAAAACTTGTGAGCCCAAACAAAACAACTTGACTTTCTCATTTCAATTGCTAAACACTCACCCAGGCTGCATGTGAATGAATTACCGACCCTGAAATTATGTGCATAAATTATTTGGCAAACAAGTCTGAGTAATGAACAAATGTGGGTGAATTGCTGTGCTGGGGAAGAGAAAGCGAGGCATGATTCATTCAATCACCCACTCGTTATGGCTGAGTCCCCGGGCTCAAATTAGGCAATAATCAAGGATCCTTCAGTGCCGGGGCTGGAGTGAGCTCAGCTGGGCTGTGAGCCTGCAGACACAGGATTTGGGAGTTCTGTGTGGCTGGGGCCAGTGTCTGCAGCATCCAACACTCATCCATAGTGCTAAAGTGCCCAGCCAGTCCTGATGCAGACACTTGGACACTCCTCATGCATCAGGAAATTGCAATTCCTGATCTCACTGCAAAATCACATGTCTCTGGGCCAAATAATGGTCAATCCATGGCCTAAGCCAGACTGACTGTTCTCATGTAGTGTAAACGGGGTTCAGACTGGCAAAGAGTAGGATTAGATTGGAGATTAGGAAAGAATTCTTGGATGTGAGGGTGGGAAGGCCCTGACACAGGGTGACCAGAGCAGCTGTGGCTGCCCCTGGATCCCTGGAAGTGTCCAAGGCCAGGTTGGATGGGGTTTGGAGCAGCCTGGGACAGTGGAAGGCGTCCCTGCCCAGGCAGGGGGTGGAACTGGATGGGCTTTAAGGTCCATTCCAACCCAAACCATTCTGTGGTCACACAGGCACAGGAAAATCTCACCTTGCAGCATCCCTGATTTTCAGCACTTACACTGGATATCACTACCTGAAAATGTGGAAATGATGCACAGATCAAATCTGAGACATACCTGTACTCCCATTTGTAATTGTAGGAGAGGTTTGAGTTCTCTACCTCTTGAACTAGGCTTCTGAGTCTTCTAAGCATTTCCTCTATTCCACACACTTATTACTCCTTTGGGTTTCGGGGTTTGCATGGGGTATCTGGAAACCTTGTTCTTGATGAAGGATCTGACAAATTTGTGCCCATCTCACACACGGAGTGTGACTGATATCCAACAGCTGCTGTCCATCCAACCATGCCCTCAGCCCCACCTCCTGCCCTCTGAGCCAACAAAACACACAAAGTTCAGTGTCCCAGCTTCCCAACTGCCCTTTGCCCTCACCAGGCTCGTGTTCCAGACTCCTGATGTTTTGGGGAGAAGCATTGCACTGCCTGGGCTGGATGGTCACCCTGTGCATGCACAGAGAAAAACCAACATCCAGAGATCATCCAGGAACCAAGGATCAACGAAACATCCTCTGTCCTGAAGCCTTGTGGTTAAAACCTCCCTGGTCAGACTTTTCAAAGAAAGAAGAGAGTAAAAGCATTCAGAGCAAAAAATGCCTTGTTATTTTTATTTGTCCTTTCTGAGCATCAAAACAAGTGCAAAAGTGACATTCCTGGGGAACTTTTATTGCAACCATCCTCGTTCAGCCACTCCTGATTTCCAGACTATCAGCAGCAGGTGGTACAGAAGACACTGCCAAAGCTCACTTGGAGGATATTTCTGAAAGCATTAAAAAAATTCCCTTGAACTATTCTGAGCTCTGCAGGCAGCTCTTTTCTGCCTCAGAAGGGAGTGTTGAAACTTGGGTTTCCTCCCCAAAAGCAAAATACCTCTGCCTGTCCCTGGCCCTGCACGAGCCAACTGAGTCTCAGTGTAGAAAAGGCACTAGGAGCTGAATTCCTCCCCTGGGGAAACCAGAGCTGAGTTATTGTTCAGTGGCATCAGGAATTGATTCAGTGTGAATGGGAGAATAAAAAATCCAGGCAAAACCATGAGATCCCAGCCAGCAATATATTTAGACCCACATCTAGGCTTAAGGTCATGAACAGTCCCAAATAAAATACCAGGACAGGATGTACTGGCCTTGAGTGCATAAAAATGGGTTTACGCATGCACAGTGATAAATTTTAGCAAGGATGCTGTTTTAAGTTGCCTAATTCCCCGCAGCACTTTGGAGTTTCTGTTTCTAGTTATCTCAAATATCTATGCCACGGTGAAGGGAGAGTGACAGGCCCAGCACTGGTGCAGTGTGGTGTGGAGCAAGCAGGAGTTTCATTTCCCAGCCCAGTTATTTTCCCTCTGCTCCCTGAGGGAATCCTGTTGAAAGAATTTGTCTCTGTAGTGTCATAGAAGAGAAGAAAGCAATAGGTTTGGACACCACTTTACACTGGAACACTGATTAATACTCAGGTAATGTAACTTTTACTAAATTAGATTGGCAGTCACAAAATGCTTTGCTAATTTTGTTTTCAATGCTCTGCCAGTGACATTAATATGAGTGATATAGCCTGAGCTTCCTGCTGGAAGGATTCTGTGGTCTAAAATCCACTTCAGACAATCAAAGATTATTTTATGGCTGGAATTTTAACAGAAGCAGAGTTCAGAGACCTCAAGAATCTTCTCCTTCTGTTCCTGTGCAAGAGGGCAGGATCAGCTGAGTGATTTTTGAGAGCTTTCCATGATACCTGTCTCTAGGAGTTTATTACAGGACTTCACTGTGAACACAAGTCACATTTTTCAGAATTCCCCTGGTCAGATACACCTCTTACACCTTCCTGGTGAATCTCTGAAACACTTTGCACTCAGCTCTTTATAACTCCATATTTACAATGTTTCCTTGTCTTGTTCATGTCTTTCCCAACAAAAGTCTAACTAATGTCAAGACTCACAACTTGAATGTTTTCCCCTCTGTCCCAAAGCCTGTTACTCTGCCATGGAAGGAAATGAGGTTGATTTGACATCATTTGTTCTTAACAAATCCATGTTGACTATCTTCTCTTACATGCTTACAAACTATTTGATTATTTGTTCCAGGATTTCTCAGGAAATTGAAGGTAAACTGATGTGTCTGTAATTCCCTAACTCCTTTCAACCCTTCCCTTTTTTACTAAATTTCCATCCTCACCTTCAGTTTTTTAAGGTAATTACTCATCAAATATTTCACACCTTAGAAAATCTATCAGCAAATCAGGAGCTAGCAGAGGACATTCTAAAAAGATAATAATATTTTAATGACCTAAATTGCTACATGATATTTTAATCAGTTTTAGGCAGATTATTATTTGGTTTGGGGTTTGGTTTTCTTTTTTTTTTCAAAGCACTACAGCTTTGGTCTGTCTCTATTGCACTTCTTTCAGCAAGCCCACTTCTATCATCACAAGATTTTTTAATATGCTGTAACTGTTCTGTTTGACAGCTATAAACCAACCCCAGCCAAAGTGGTCAGACTGAGCCTGACCCTGTTGATGGGTGTTACTGCAAGAAAGAAGGCCTGAATTTCCTGCCAGAGTGCTCCTTTCACACAATGCAGTGGGACGGGTCAGAGTGTGTGGGTGAGCAGTTCATGCAAGGAGATCAACATATTGACTTGCCCAAGTGCAAATCCCTCCTTGTGCAATGCTGGGAGCAGGGAACAATGATGGTTGAGAAAGCCAGACGTGCCCAGTTCTCACAGCACCCTCCCTGCTGTGCCAGGGCCTGCTCTCAGTGCAGCTGGGTCCAGCTGAGATCAGCTGCCAGCATCAGCTTTGCAGCCATACATTGACCTTTCCAGGATGTCACACTTGCACCTTCCCAAACTCTTCCTTCTTTCCCTGTTCTCAAGAAAGATTTGGGAAGAGGAGAGCTGTCTCCAGCTATCCACAGTGCAGTGCAGCATTTGAAATTAATCATTCCCCATCAGCCTCCCAGGCCAGATGCCAGGCACAGTGGAATCAATCCCCTTCCATGAAATCATCTCCAAAGCAGCATCTCTGCTCTTTAAGTGCATTTTCACTGGGTTTCTAAGCACAGACAGAAAGAGATTTTCCTTGCTCTTTCCACTGTTTTTCCCAATACTACTGAAGGGTACTGTGTTGTACAGTAAAAGGAGTCTTGGCAGGGTAGCAGGCAGTAGAAAACTCTTCCTGAAAAGCTTAAGAGTACCTTATCAGGAGAATGAGGTTATGGACACACCTTTTCCTCCTGCCAACTCATGATTTCTTCCTGCCACTGACAGTAGACAGGGAAAGAGCAGCCAGCTCCCAGTCAGTGATCAAAGGCTCACATGATTTCACTTATAGGATGAAAAAAGACGTAAGACCAAGAAATTAAATAAATATTGTCATGACTGACTCATCCTTCACAGATGTCTGCTTTGTATACTTTTTTTAACCTGTCAAACCTCTCTCATTGTTATTTCATACTTGGTTTCAACACAGCTACAGAGGTGGAGATGACAATTCTCCTGCTTATTGATCTTGACATGACAAGTCCTTGTCTCACACGGAGAAAAATGTTACTGCTGTCAAAAGAGATGCAGGCGGTGACTTTTGTATCTTCCTCTGGTAAAATAAACTTGGATTATGGCACGGGGTCAGTGCTGTGGGAATTGCAGATGCCGGAGTGCTGTACAACACTCCCCTCTTGTGATTTCTCTCGTTACAACACTTTCCAAACCGCAGCCTTTCCCCATTAACCTCTTTTACATGGCAGATTCCCTCTCTGAGCACGAACCCTGCCCTCAAACAGCCACTTTCCTCAGTGGGAGCTGAACAACACTATTTGAAGCATACACACTCATTTTGGTTTTACTGATTTCCTCCTTCCCTGTGCCTATAACCCTGTGTTATTTTTTATATGATTCTCTACTTGCTGCTTCAGGAACTTGGACAGACCTGGCATTCCCACCTCTGCCAGCACATGTTGCATTTCCTCTCTAAGTGCAGAGTTCAGTGCAGAAATTTCAGACCTGCAGGTACATCTTTGCTATTCTCTGGTATTTATTGGAGCTGCAGAGGACCAGAGCCAGGCTGCTTCAGTGGAATGACAGCATCTTTGCCCACACAGTGCCTGTCTCTAAATTTTGAAAGCATCACAAAAAAAAAAAAAATAGAAAAAAAGGAATCAGTGCAGAATTCCTGCTCACCATGGAAAGGTGTGGACTTGCTCTCAGGAAATGGCAGAGTTGGAAGCTGGTCCAGAAGGGAAGGGAAGCTGGGGACTGAGCGTGGCAGTGAGGTGGGATGGGTGGAAGAGGTGAGGACAGCAGGGTGGGCTGTCACAGCCCAACACACCTGAGCAAAGCAAGCAGAGACACCTTGGCAAGTGTGACCAGGCTCAGCTGAGAGCCCAGATGGCCCAACAAGTCCATGGGGAAGCACAGGATGAAGCAGGAAGGGTCATGCTGGACCTATCTCAAAGCTGACCTTGACCCCAAATGGGCAAAGGAAGTGGGACACCCTCAGGGCCAGAGCACCGACAAGTCCCACAAAAAACTTTTATTTGCCCACGTGAAAAAGCAGATTCCAAAATATAAATATATTCTTTTTTTTTTTTTTTAATTTGGACAGGTGGAAAGGAAAAACAGACTTAATTACTGCTTTGCTGGTGTACACAGAGCTCAAGTAATGCAGGCACCACTAGGAGTAACATTTTTAAAGAATTTTTGTTAATAAGTGAAGAACAGAGAACCTTTCAGTTCTACTTATGTGTCACACACTCATGTCAACCTACTTCACCTTCTTCGAGAAAAAAGCCCAACAACTTATTTATTAAACATTGTTCCTATGTTAATTAACACCTGTTCCTACATTTTATTGCCCAGATTAAGTACAGCTCAATATTTTATCCCCAGCATCCCTACTTTTGGTGCAGCTGGGATGTCACTTTGTGACCACAAGGAACAAAGGCATGTTTAGATGTCCATTTTCTACTATAATACCTTGAGAGCACATGTGAAACTAAATTAAAGTGTAAGTACTTGGCTTAAACAATGAGGAGAAAAGGAAGGCCACTAACAGTTCCCTTTCTTTTCACAGATATTGGAACTAAGTTTCCAAAGTTTGCTAAGTTGCTGTTTTCTTAACAAATTAACCATGGAAACCTCCAAGGTCACAGAGTTACTGAACAGAGAATGGCAAACAACAAGGCCTGTGTTTTGAGCTCATCCTCATCCCTGCCTCAGAACATGTGGTTTGTGACGGGCACGAGTGTGCTCAGGGCTGAGGGACGTTCAAAAAGCAGAAGAGGAAAACTAAAGAGAAAAATGTACCTAAAATTATGGGGAAAAATAAAAAGGTACGGCTTCTGCTTGAGAACATGCATTTTTAAAGCAGCTGTTTTCATAACAGAGGAGAAATAAGACAACCTAAAGCATAGTAGGAACTTAAGACTATCTCAGCAGTAGCCATAGAATCATAGAATCATGGAATGGTTTGGGTTGGAAGGGGCCCTAAAGATCTTCCCATTCCAACCCCCCTGCCATGGACAGGTACACCTTCCACTAGAGCAGGCTTTCAAGGTCATTTAGATCTTCTTCACCCTCTCTAACAATGTTTCCTGGCCTGGATTGTCTTCTTCACACAGACATCCCCCCAACATGTGGCTCTGACTCTCCCAATAGCAGCAACATGGCAAGTGAGAGCAGAATTTGGGCCAGTCCTCCACTGACATTTGTTTGCTCTTTCTGTTTAAACTACCCCAGGCCAGTGAACTTGTGCCAGAGCAATTCCATTGGGCCCACAAGGGTCCTTTGGTGCCTGATAGCACACACACAAAAATAAAAATGAAACCTTTGAACACAGTTTTGTATGTGAACACCTCTGTGGAGCAGAGAGAAGTGTTTAAAAACAGATCTGCAGGACACAAAGCCATGGATAGAGACAGTATGAATTAACCTTTCTGAATCACAGAATAATCACAGAATGGCTTGGGTTGGAAGGGACCTTAAAAATCATTTTGTTCCAATCCCCCTGCCATTGACAGGGACACCTTCCACTAGAGCAGGCTGCTCCAGACCCCATCCAACCTGGCCTTGGACACTTCCAGGGATGGGGCAAAGGAGACTTGGAAAAGAATAAATAAATCTAAAAGCATTCAGATACCCATTTCTTTCTCAAAATTTCAGCATTTCCATAAGCAATTACTTTGAATAAAAGCCTTTAATTCCCTCAGTTTCCAACAAGTCTTTTTTTCCCACTTTACTTCAGCACTAAGCAGTTAATAAACAGGAGGCTGTAACTCCACACCATTTATTCTTCCTAATTAAAGAATCCTGTTAGGACATGTAGAGCAGTTCCTGGATTTTACTTTTAAGCCCAGACCTGTCACTTCCTTGAAAAATAACTGTAGCAAACAAAAGTCTTACTTTGGTGGGGCCCTTCAAAGCTTTATGTGAGAAAAGGAAAAAAAACCCACTATCTCTCTGCATTTTGAGGGGCCTTGTGTACACATTAATATTCACATCTAAAGGATTTGTTTGTTTCTGTGGTATCCAGTAGCACTCCTAAAGAGGTTATTTAAGGCAGAAGAGCAGCAGAGATGGCTTGAGATGTCTTTCAGCCTTGCTGAATTTCCACTGTTACCAAGTCACACAACGCAGCCCAAGGCTTATCCAGGCAGGAATGATGTCCCTCAAGCAACAACTCCTGCACTCTGATCTGCAACAGAGTGTCACCAAAACACCTCTGGTGCCTGTCTCCAGACTAAACAGAGCTGGAAACATCCTTGTGGGCAGCGCCTGTGCCCGCTCAGGCTTGGGCTGATCAAACAAAACTCAGAGCAGACAGTGGCTGTCCCTTGTGCTGGGCACTGCTGAGGCCACACTGCCAGCTCTGGGTCCAGTTCTGGGTCCTTCAATTCAGGAAGGACATTTAGGGACTGGAACAAGTCCAGGGAAGGGAATGGAGCTGGGGAAGCGTCTGGAGGACAAGTTTGATGAGGAGCAACTGAGGGAGCTCAACCTGGAGCAGAGGAGGCTCGGGGGGCCCTTGTGGCTCTGCACAAGTCCCTGACAGGAGGGGACAGCCGGGGGGATCAGGCTCTGCTCCCAGGGAACAGGGACAGGAGGAGAGGACATACTCCTAAGATGTACCAGGGGACTGTTAGGTTGGGTGTTAGGAAGAATTTCTTCACAGAAAGGGTGATTAGACACTGGGAATGGACTGCCCATGGGGGTGGTGGAGTCACCATCCCTGGAGATGTCCAAAGAAAAAGACACTGAGCTATTCCAGAGGATGTCACAGGGATGGGGAAGGGTCTGGAGGGGCCTCATGAGGAGCAGCTGAGGACACTTGGTCTGCCCAGCCCAGAGGTCAGACCTCAGAGCAGCCAACGCTTCCTCAGGAGAGGCAGTGAAGGGGCAGGGTCGGATCCGCTCCCTCTGGGCGAGGGGAGCCGAGGGAAGAGCAGGAAGCGGAGTCACCAGAGCTTTAGGGTGGAGATCAGAAAAGGTTCCTCCCCCAGAGGGTGCTGGCACTGCCCAGGCTCCCCAGGGAACGGGCAAGGCCCCAGCTTGACAAATTCAGAGAGTTTGGACACCGCTCTCAGGCACAGGGTGGCATTGTTGGGGTGTCTGTGGAGGGCCAGGAGTTGGACTCTGATCCTTGTGGGTCCTGCCAGCTCAGGATACTCCGAGTCTATGAAAGACTGGATGTATTCAGTCACAGGCTGGACTCAACGACCTCAGGTTGTTTTCCAGCCCAGGTGGTTCTGTTATTCCGTGACTCTGTGACTGATTCCGCTCCCCTGTCCCCCTCCCGTGTCCCTGTCCCAGGCCGGCGCTCCCCGCACCGGGACCGGCCTGAGGGCGCCGGCCCCGCCCCGCCGTCGCCAGGCGCTGCCGCCAAGGGAGGAAGTGTCGTAAGGGCCGACAGGAACTGGCCGCGGGTTTTACGGCCGCGGCGGCCGCGCTTGGCGGCGGCGGAGCGGGAGCTGCCCAGACGCGGCGGTGAGTGGCGGCGGCGGGGGGACCCCGGGCCCCGAGCGCTCCGGGAACGGCCCCGCCCGCGCCCGCGGGGGGAGCGGGGCAGCCGCCAGAGGGGGCGGCGGGGCGGCGAGGCGCGGCCCGGGCACCGTGCGTGCCTTTGTTCGCGCCCCCCCCTCCCCCCCGCTCCCCGCCGAGCGCGGCCCGTGAGGCCGCCGCGCCTCCCCCCACCTTCCCGTCGCCCCCGTTCGGTTTGGCGCCCTCCTCCTCCTCCCCGGTGAGTTTGTGTCGGTCTCTCCCGTAGGATATGGCCGAGGTACCGCCGGGGCCTAGCAGCGTCCTGTCCCCGCAGGGGGACACGCTCTCCCCCTTCCCCGGAGGAGGAGGAGGGGGGGCTGCTTCCTCCTCCTCCTCCTCCTCTGCCACCTCCTATGCCGCCGCCGCCGCCGCCTGCACCGGCGCCCAGGACGAGGAGGCCGAAGAGGAGGAGGAAGAGGAGGGACCCGCGGGCGGACGGGAGCAGCAGCAGCGAGGAGGAGGAGGAGGAGGAGGCAGCGACGGCGGCAAGGGGGGCCCGCAGCACCGCCACCACCACCGCCACCACCACCACCCCCCGCACCACAACCACCAGCTCAACGGCCTCATCAGCCCCGAGCTGCGGCACCTGCGGGCCTCCCTCAAGGGCAAGATCCTCGGCTCGGAGGCAGGGACGGCCCCCGAGGGGCTGGAGAACAAGCGAGCCAGCAAAACAATGGGCTCCGGACAGCAGCAGTCGTCGCCCCCCACCGCAGCGCCCTGCTCGTCCCCCCACGCCAACCACCTCCCTCCCCAGGGAAGGACTGCACCCTCTCCTCCTCCTTCTCCCCCAGCTAAAGGGGACAGGAGCCAGCCTGCTGCCACAACCACGACTGCTGCTGCTAAGACTGCAGCCCGCAATGGGCTGGCGGGAGAGACTGGCTTGGAGGAGGAAGAGCAGGAGGAGGGGGATGAAGGAGGGGAGGAGGAGGAGGAGTCCCTGCAGCTACTCTCCGGGTCCTTAGCAGCAGCCTGCAGTTTGAAAGGCTCGGGAACGGACTGTCAGCCCGAGGAGGACCTAACGATACGATACGTCCAGTATGAGTCAGAGCTGCAGATGCCCGATATCATGAGACTGATCACCAAAGATCTGTCTGAACCCTACTCCATTTACACATATAGGTATTTTATCCACAACTGGCCACAACTTTGCTTTTTGGTAAGTGCCGGAGGGAGCAGGGAGGGCAGGAGCTGGGAGTGGTTTGGGGCTGGGGAGGAGAGGATGGAAGGGTTGACGTTTGTTGAAATACTTTTAATAACGCTTTTGTGGGTAAGGCCAAACTTTTGTGGAAATACCTGTCCAATTATGACCTGTGCATGTACAAGTAAAGCTTATGCCCAAAGTTCTACATTTGTTAACATGTTTTAAGTGGTGGGGAAAGGGTTTGAGCACAGGGCTAGGATCCAGAAATTCAGAGCTTCTAATCTTGGTTTTGACATTGACTTTTGTGACCTTTGGTGTAGCACATTTTATGATTCTGTCTCAGTTCCTGGGCTTGTATTTAAAAAAGAAAGTACTTAGTCCACTAATGCCTTGTAACTGCTTGGTAATTCTTGCACAATGGTTTTAAAACTGACTAAAGCAGGGCTGGCACATAAATGTTAAGTGATAGGTGGAGAGGCACTCTGAAAGATTTAGTAGACTTTTTGATCTGTGAGCCTACTTTGACAAAGACAAGTCCAACTGTGTTGCTTTTACAGGTGTGAGAGTGCTCGCAGCATGCAGGAATTCATTCTCACGTTGGTTCCCTGCACTAACAACGTATTTAGTGTTGTATTCTTCCTACTGCACTATTGAAAGGCTGGTTTAGCTGCCCCCTGCCTTCCTAAATGTTTAGCACTTTTTGTGTCTCAGTTGCACGCTTTTAGGATGATAATTCATCCACAGGTAAAGGAAACTGAGTAGAAGTTGGCCTGAGGAGTGTATGTGCATAGCAAGAGCTTAGCTGTGCTTGATTTACTCAAAGGAACACTTAAAGCTGCAAAACAGAACATTTAGGGAAATTTGTGGCACTTCCTTGCTAAAGAAAATGATGGATTCATCTCTCTTGATGTTTTAATTAGGACTGGACACCCCTCTGAAAGGTCTGATTTAGCCAGAGCCAAGACACTCATCAGTTCAGGGTTATCTCTGAAATTTTGATAGAATATGAGTACAAGAGGTGAGGCTAATGGAGTACATCTGGTTTTAAATTTCCTGAACATTCCTGGTTTAGGATCTGATGTAATTTATAGCAGGATTGATAGAGTTTATAGGAAGATTTTCAGAACTGTGCCTCTTAACACCCTGCAGAGGGAATACAGGAGGATTACAGGAAGTTGAGCAAAGCATGAAGTTGACCTTCTGGAACAAAACAGAATATGAAAATACTGGAGAGCATTGTTGGATGCAGAGTCATGTTTGCCATTACAGGGATGCTGATCAGAGCACAGTGGTGTTCTTCAAACACTGAGCTCTGCCTGTGACTGATTTACCTCATACTGAGAGTAGAATGCTCAAGAACTACAGAAGTCCATACTTTGAGCATCAGGTGTACCCCTGGTAATGCCAAGGCAATGTTGGATACTCTTAGATCACAATGCATTTGTTTAGACTTTCAGTCATTATGGGTTTGGGTTTTTTTGTCAAGGAATAACTGGAGAATTTTGTTGTGAGAAGAGCAGTGACAACTTGTTTGACAGAGAACCAAAACAGATTATTTCTAATAAGTGCATTTAAAGAGTAAGATATCACTCAAGGAAGAGAAAGCTTATTTTGTAGTGACAGCTTCATTTTTTGATAGCCCTGAAGAATCAACAAAACTTTTCTTGAACTCAGTGTATTTGCCATTTTTTTGGAAAGGCGAAACAATGTGAAGTACATAAAAGTGTATAGAATAATATATGGCTTTGAATGTCTAAAGCCAGCAAACTGTTACCTGCTTAATAATTTGAAGGTCTTGCAGCATGCTGAGTCAAATTCATGTGGGGGGAGGGGGTTGGGGTTTTTTGTGACCGGCTTTAATATTTTTGGGGTTTGTTTCTTAGAGATTGTCTTGAAAACTTTCTGTTCTATAAAATCTAATTTGTTCCTGCAGTTAATGGATTCCTGAACTACTTCTATCTAATAAATCGCTTTAAAATATTTATCTTCAGTCAGGGACTGCATATTTCAATTAGCAAGAAGTGTCGGGATGGTGAACATGGAGCTTAGTTCCTGATGTCACAGAATCATTTGTCGTTAATGCTTTGTAGCCTCACAACCTTCTGGTTTCAGGTTTTGACTGGGTTTTGATTGTTTTGGGAAGAGGGTTTAGCCTGTGATTTGATTGTATTTGGAAAAAGATCTGTAAGGGTCAATTCAATCAATTCCTTTACTGAGTTTCACCATCACCATTTGAAAACTCTTCCAGAACACATTCACCTGTCTTCCCTGTGCTGTCATGGCACATTTCCTTTTCCCTCCCTGTGAGGGGAAAGGACTGACACCACTGAAATTTAAGATGGGATATGAATTTTCCTAAATTATCAGCACTTGCCTCTTTCTGATGGTTTATTCAGTGAACCATCTAAAACATAATTTCCCTATTCTGACAATGCAAGGCTAATTAACTTCACTGCGTGGATTTGAAACTTGCTGAATTTTGGCTTGGCCTTCCCAAGTTGCTCTAAGGGCTGGTGCAGCCCAGGCTGCCGCTTGTTTTTCCTTTCTCTTCAACTCCCTCTTCCTGCCTTGTGCCAGCCCTTGTGTTTCTGTGGTTTTGGGAGCTGAGATAACCCTCTAACTGGAATGTACTTGTAAATGTGTGTGTATTTAGCTGTTTTAGGGTGATGCTCTGTTGGTTTAGTGCTCCAAATATATTCCTGTAGGATGTCACAGGCACCGGAGCAAGAGAAGAGGAGGGAGTGCGCAGCTGGAGGGAAGGCAGAGGACCAACCCTGACTGGTTTTCAGGCTCAGACCACTTCCTAACTGTACACCCAAAGAAGAAATTAATATTCCACTTTAAAAGGACCTGGAGATACTGGAAATCTTAAAACCCTGTTAAATCCAATATCAAATTAATCCACATAACTGTTATCCTGACTTTTGGGGTAGCAAGTTGGGAGTGCTACTCAGTGCTGAGGTGTCACACTGCAGCAGTGTCTGGGTTGTGGCAAGGAAATAACAATTTCCTCCATAAATGTCCAGGGGAAGGTGTCCCTGTCCATGGCAGGGGGCTGGAACTAGATGATCTTTAAGGTCTTTTCCAACCCAAACCATTCTGGGGTTCTGTAGAACTCCAACTGTCTGGTTAAACTCATGTTTTGCCTGTCTTCAGAAGAGCAGGTTTGCTCTGTGTATTAGGTGTGGGTGCCCAGTAAATGCCTGTTTTTTACTTATTCTCGGAAGCTCTGTCAGCCCAGTTTCTCCTCAAATGATAACCACTCCTCTGCCAAAAAATGACAGGGGGATGGGGCATCTTCTGTTTCATGTCAAGTATTTTTAAGCAATGTTATGTCTTTGTCCCCAGATGGATTGTAAATGCATTTTCAACATCGTAGCTTTCTTTTAAAGTGGTTTTCTAGCTTCTAGTCTTAGCAGTGCTAAAGTTCTGAAGCTTGCATTTCAGACTGATAAATTAAATATTTCAGAAAATTGTTTTCAAAATCCTTTAGCGTGGGAGAGGTGAGCTTAGGAAACCTTGCTCTGTGCCAGAATTTGGATAAGACAGAATGTAGTAAAAGCAGAGTTCTGGTTGTGTGTTGTAACCTCTCGTGTAATTCACTGTACCACTCAGCTGCCTTTTAAGAAAAATTTAGAAAATACGTGCTTTTATTGGATTCTTAACTTTGCCACTAGCTATAGCAGCATTTATAATTTAAACTTTCTCAAATTTAAAAATAACCTATTAATTCCATGTAAGTGGTTTTAAATGTGTTGTAAATCCTAAATGACTGCAGTTAAGTCTTGTTTTATACTAATGCTTTGCATTTTTTTTTAAATTGGATTCGATTCAAGAGTCTTGGTATGTTGAAATTAAGACTTGTAGGACATTGTCTGTTCTTTGGTTGTGGAAAACCTGGGGCTTAAAGGAAGAACCAGAAAAGTTAGGAGGTTGTCTGAGAAGTCTTCCTGGCCCCATGGCAGACGTAGGAAGAAGTTTTGTAGGAGAATTTGCAAAGTTTCCAGTTTGTTTTTAGGAGTGATCACCCTTTGAGTCAGTCTCTCACTGTCAGTGGCTCTGTGAAAACTGAAGTCCCTGCAGCCCCTGAGCAGGTGACAACAGCCAGGGCAGCTATTCCAGAGGGTGTTCCTCACACAGGAGGGAATTGCTGGTGTCCAGGGCAGCTATTCCAGAGGGTGTTCCTCACACAGGAGGGAATTGCTGGTGTCCAGGTTCATGGAGTGGAAGCAGAGGGACGTGGGGATTTCCAGGTACTGGGAAGAGCTGCGGCTGAGGCCCCAGACTTGGGGTTAAAACCATTACCCTGAGTGTATCTTCTAAAGGCATTCGGTAACATGATCCCTAAATGAGAGCCAGTTGGTACCCAGCTCTGCCTCATATACTTTGGGATGGACTTTGGTGCAGGTGTGAAAGGAAAATACAGTGCAGTAGTGCAGGTTCTGCTGTGTTTGAATCGCAAAACATTTCCCTTTTGGGGCTAGTTGGCTGTTTTAATCTCCCTTAAATAAAATTCACAGGATCTAGATATTAAATACATACTCAGACTGTGGCTGACAGACATAATGGCATCTTTGATAATGAAATTAATACAAATTGATTAATTCTGTGAAAAGTAATGTTCTTGCTGATTTACAGACATTTTTCTACTAGCTCTTCCAGTATATTAAAATCTGGTTTGTTTTAAGCATTTAAACTTATTCATAGGAACAAAGATGATGCAAATACTGGATTTGGATTCATGTATGTTAATCCTGCTACTAATAACCTACTATTGGAGTAAATCTTACAGTACTCTGTGGAGTTTATGATATACAATAGTGACTTAGGCTGAATTCTGTTTGTAGAGAATTGCTTGTTTAGAAGTACTCTCATATACCTGAAAGGAAAGTCTGGCCCATGAATATCTTGTCCTAAATGACTTTGTGTGGGAGCTACTTTTCCTCCCTCCTCACGACTCTCCCTATTTCTGTCTGTTTTTTTTTTTTATTCACACAGTTTAACCTTCTCCAGGAAATTAAATTGCAAAGTTTTGCATCATGGTTTAGGTTTCATTTCCAGCTTTAGATAAGGTTGGAAAGAAGGAGAAAGGAGAGGAAAGGCAACAAAAACCCTTCTAAATGAGGTGGAAATGCAGCATTCCCTTTGTGAGTGGAACAGCTCTAGATTAACTGCCAGACTTACCTGCCTGAAGACAGAGAAATAGATTTAAGTGTTTGGTGAACTGGTAATAGAGTCATTCTTTACTCAGCTCGCTGGCAGCAGTGGTAAAACCAGTGGGTATTTGCTTCTTTGATCACTGAAACAAAATTCTTTGCTGTTCATTTAACATTTTAAATATATGATTCATGAACTTTTCAGAAAAGTGCTCTGGACAAGAAAGAGCTCAGATATGAAGTGTCTAGATTGTCACTACTCCTGAAGAATGTAAAAAAACAAATACATGTATCTTAAAAATTCTCCACATAACTGTTAGGATCAACAGTTTGCACGTGTTCACTCCAGGGCAAAGCACAACTATAACTTGTGGTGTGCTTTCTTTTTTTTTTTTTTTTTTTTTTAGTGAGGTTTAAGATTACATCTAGGTACTCTGCATAATTATAGCAGTGTTCTGAGCAGTCTGTCTGATGATACTCTTTATTTAACTCCCTGCTTTTCTCAGGTCTGAACTGAGATACAGAACTTGCCTTGAGCTGAAACTTTGCATACACTGTTTGAGTATGGGCACAGCTCCTCTTTTTCTGTGGCATAAACTGTGTTTTGGAACAAATGAAAGGCTTAGAGACACTGTGTTTCAGTCCACTTAGATTGTGCTACAGTTTTTGTTTGTTGTTTTAAAAACCACTCTGTTAGATTGTTCAGGGTTGTTCTTGGATACTGCTGAAATGTGTTTTCCTGCCAAATAAAAACTTAGCAATAGTTACATTTGCTTCAGCTACATTAGAAATGGAGTTAAGATTGTGCTGTATCACAGGGCTTTGGAAATGCAACCTCTACTTTATTTGGCTTCATTTCACATTTGCTGCAGCTTCTGGTTGACAGATTACTTAGTTTATAACCCACAATCCAGGTGGAGGTGCTGAAAGACTTGATTCTTTTGGGGGTGAAGAGACTGTGCCTGCAGCATGACCTGCAGGAAGGAATCTTCTGTCCTCAGAGCTTTAGCCTACAAGCTGTGCACAAAGGTTCAGGTGGTTGAATTTATACCACAGACTTTGGAGTAGTGAGCTCTGGGTTCACAGGTGGCTGCTCTGAGGCCTGGCAGTACTGGCTCTAGCAAGTCCTTTTCATTTGACGTGTCTTAGCGTCGTAAATTTGGATTATCCAGCAGCTCTTGTGCCACCACATGCTTTTGCCAATCATGTGCTGTAGTCCTGCTTTAGCTGTGGCACTTGAGCCCAAGATTGGTCCTCTCTGCAGATCTGTCAAAGGCTGTGGATCCGCTCACACACCCATATGTAAAATTATGAGTTTCTTTTTATCTCTGCCCATCTTTCCTGGGTGCACAGGAGTTTGTTTTCCCCTTGGATGCTGTCCCACTCTGCAGCTTTAACGAGTTTTACTGCTGCAGGTTATAATGTCATTGATCCCTTATGCTGCCTGATCCTTCAGTTAACATGACTTAGTTTTCCTTTCTCTCATGGTAAAATTTTGGTGGAGAGAGTGGGTGCGCAAGTGTTTTGATGAGTGTTTGGGGAGGAGTTTGGTCCTTTCCTTTTTGGAGTTTTTCTTGTTAATATTTCAGAATGCCTACGTCTCCTTGACCACGGTTACTGTGACAATGCCACTGGGATTAACTGCCAGTGCCTAGCTCTTAACAGATGAAATCTCCCAATAGTTAAAATGTGTGAAATTAACTCTGCTTTTTTGTTTGTTCTCTGGGTGTCATATGACTGAAAGCAACAGTGTCTAAAGATCAAATGCAGCAACACTTTTCTCTGATCCTTTGTGACCTTGACATTAAAACCAGACAAAAATTAAGCATGTTATCTACCACAGCCCTTGTACAGGAAAATTCAGATCACTATTAAACAGGAATGGACTTTTTTCCTCTGAAGAAGCCCATATGAAAGGGTAATTTATGCCTTAACCTGGTCTTTTATTTTATTTATTTTCCCTTTTTAATCACATATGTTCTTGCCTGTAGACTGTGAAACGATAATGTCCTTCTCTCCAGGAATAATTCATTGGTTATTAATTGACTTGGAACTTTATTGGAATGTAATAAAGCAATTAAGTCTTTTAATCGTAGTAATACTTTAGGAGACGCTTTTAAAATTAACGTTGTTACCTTTCCATAGCTTTATACAAACAAATTTTTTGTGGCTCTTTCACTTGAAAAATGAACTGCTTTTGGTAGCACTGTGGATCCCAAACTGAGAATTCCATCCATGTATGTTTGTCTTTAAGGCCATGGTAGGTGAGGAGTGTGTAGGTGCCATCGTCTGCAAGCTGGATATGCACAAAAAGATGTTCCGCAGAGGTTATATAGCCATGTTAGCAGTGGATTCCAAATACAGAAGAAAAGGAATTGGTAAGAATAGCTTTTTTTTTGTTCTTTCTTCCTTAAATCCTCTAGCTGGGATAACTGTAGCTGTCATAAAGATTTAAGCTGAACTGAACTTCAGGATGTAGTGCTTTGTGTGTCATCCCTGCCTTACTCAACCACACGAGCTCCCCAGTGGCTTTTCTGATTTTGTTAAAGTAACCTGAAATGCCCTGTGAGGTTCACACCTGGGATCTGATGAGGCTAAAAAGAAAGGCAGGCAGCAGCCCCTTACCTCTGCCTCTACCACTGCCAAATAACAGCAGTGGGAACTGCTTTGTGGTTTATGTATGCCCTCATTTCCATGTTGTGTGGCTCCTTTTTTACAGTGAACTTATTTCCTGACTTACCCCTATAAATTATGCATATATTACCCATCAGGGAGAATGTATAGAGCTCATTATTGTATTAATCAGGGAAGAAAAATAGCTTTGTATTGTTACTTGAATGATTGAAATGGCGATCTGTTTTGTTGGGAAGTTACGTGGTAAAGAAATCACTCTTGGCAGGGAGTTTGCCCTTCCTCATTAATCAGTTTTGCCCTGGTGAATGGATTTTCATTCTAACACCAGTTAGCCAAGTTGGCTTAATTAAATATTTGTTCTTGTGGAACTTAATTTTTTTATGCTGGTTATTGTGAAATTACATTTTGTAAGGTATTTTTAACTAAATGTAGCCGTCAGCTCCAAGGCTTAGAACTGTGCTTCACCACTCATCCACACTGAACAGCTCATGCTTCTGTGATTAAAGACAGAAAATTACTTGCAATCGAAAAATACAGTGATCCATTGCAGAATGTATCATTGTGTTTGCTCTCTTCCAGAAAAAACCCTCCAAAAAAACACATTACCACAACTGTTCAAGCATGTGCAGATTTTTTCTTTCCCCAGTGCAATTGAAAAGCCATTGTTGGTTTCTGTAGTGGAGGAGAGGAAGAGGATACTGAGAAATCACTGTCTCTGCTTTCCTTTTAGCTGAGTCATGAAGGAGTCTGCCATAATTTAATTGCAGGTGCTTGGATTCAGAAGTAAATAAGAACTAAGGCTGTTATTATGAAGATGACTGCAAGACTTTTCCCTCACTTTAGTCAGTCTGTTAAATTAGAATTACATACATAGAATTGGTCTTTAAAACTTTGCTTACTCTAGCATTATATATGTTGACTTTTTCCTACATTTGCCACCTTGCTGTTTCTCAGAGTGTGCTGTTAATCTGAAGATCTGCTTTAAATGTAGAACAGTTTTATCATAACACTCAATGAAAACCTTAATTGATTAAAGTTTTGAGAATATTTTAAAACATTCCGTAGATTCCTTGGGGTTTTTTTTCCTTTTCCATAGCCTTCTTATGGAAGTGAGATTTATGCAATTTTCACTGAACAGCAGTTTTTTCCACTAATAACTTTGAAATCAACTTTCAATTTCACCCCAATTCTGCAGACAGGTAGGGATATTACATTTGTAGAACTGTTGTGAAATAGATGAAAAATAATGATTAAAAAAAATTAATGCTTGTCTGAGGGGAAGGGATGGGCTTCAAGAATATTATTAGATACTAGCAAACCCAAATGGGAGTGAGCCATAAGAGCAGTGGTTTCATAAGTTCTGTTACTAATAGAAGTATTTGTTTTAGTAAGAGGAAATTCCCTTGGAAGATGAATGTCCTTCCAGTACATGCCAGCAGATTTTGACTTTAAATGCAACAAAAAGGAATGAATCACATCTTGGAAGGCTATATATAACACCATGTTGAGCATAGCAGCCAGTTTCTAATATCCTTGTGTTACAAGAATCTTGCACTTGAGCTGAGTCTCTGGATAACTTCACAGATTATTTTAGTGTTCAGACTTGAGACTGCAGCTTGACTGCAACTCCTTGTTTTTCTTTCTTCCCTGCTTTCCCCAGGTGTCATGTCATGTAGGTAGCACCCATTAGTCATATGTAAACTGGCTTTTTTTGGTTTTTTGTACTTCAACTCTGACACTTACTGAAATCTGTGTTTCAGGTACAAACTTGGTTAAGAAAGCTATTTATGCTATGGTTGAAGGAGATTGTGATGAGGTAAGATTTTATAATCAAAACTTTTATGATGTAAATGGTTTGCACTCTCTTGTATGTGGATTCAACTCACAGGTTTTTCTTCTACAGGACTTCTTTTAGGTGAGAGATAAGTTGGTAAGAAGCTCCTTTATAATATAAGGGAAAACAACCTCTGAAAAAATAAGTATGGCACAAATAGGAGAAGGACTTTCTGAATTTGTCCTAAGTGCTGAAATTCAGTAATTTACCTTGTGAAGCTGCCTCAGCCTTCACTCAAACCATTTTCGTTCAAGGGCCCCAGTTTGAGGTGCAGCTGAGCAGTGGGATGAGCATGTCCTGTGCAGCCCTGCCATCCCTGTGCACACAGCCACAGAACAGTGTGTGCTGTGCTGCTGAGAATGTGGATTTATCACAGCCACTCATCAGGCTGTTCTGACACTGCACAGAGCAGAGCTGCAGTGGGTTAACACCACGACACAGACGTGCAAGGAGAGCGACTGAATCACTGGCAAACTTCCTTGCCCTAAAAGCTGTTACTCTGTTACCAGATTACAGTTCCTGCTTTTTAAAAAATATAAATACATACATAAAGCACCTATATTGTTGAGTGTCTTGTTTAACTTGTGAGGAACCATCCATCCATCCACCCTCCTTAACCAGGTTATCAGTCCCTTTAACTTCCAGCTCCTTGGCACGATGCAGCTGTTCCTGATCTGTGAGCATTGTCATTTCAGTGTGTCAATGAGCCTTTGATCTCTCTGTTATCTGACTTCAGCTGCTCCCTCCATTGTCCCACTGCTCCCTCCATTGTCCCACTGCCCTGTGGGGAAGTTTCTTATTCAAAGCTACAATTGGTGTCACAGGACTTCTGGCACACACTCCAGTTTATTTTTCCACTAGTTGTGTTTTGCCTCTTGCAGCATCCCTGCCTATGCTCTGGCTTCATTCATTGGGAGATTTATTCTTCCCCTCAGATCCCTTCATGCCTCTGCTTGCTGGTGTCTTCTTCCCCGTCACCTTGTAATTTATGTTGTACTTGGGCAGCACAGTGCAGTCTGTAATGCTTTTAAGTTCTTTATTTTGGCATCTTGCTTCTATCATGGTTTCTAAAATGCTTTCCTCTAATCTCTTTTACTACTTGCCCACACTCAACTAATCAAGAAGAGGTTGGTTGGTTTATTTTCCTCATTGCTTGAGTTGATTTCCCTTTACTAAACTAGTCAAGATTTTAAAATAAATTGCAAAATGCTTGAGTATCAGGGTTCCAGTGTTCACACCACAGCTGCAGAAGTGAGATGCAGAGAAGGGAATTACCCACTGTTATTAGAGAGTCAGGAGTAGAACTGGATGTTTCTACTCAAGCTCTGAGTTGCAGTAATTACTGTGTATTTTCTGAATGTCTGTGTGCTACTTCTCATGTGAATTCATTTCTAGATTGGACTAACAGGTGACCTCTAACAGTAATCTTTTCTGTGCCTGTCTTTTTCCTCTGCCACTGTCACATTAATCTAAGATCCCTTTTTGCTGTTTTTTTTTACCTCCATAAACATGAAATAAATGTGATAAGGGTTGCAGGTCTGCAGTGAGGCCTCATTAAGTCTTAGCCACAGATTTTCATCTCTGGTGCTGTATAGATGCTATGGACCAGGGGCAGAGGGCATTTCTCACATTCTGTCTCTTTATTTGAAGGCCCTGCAGTTCAGACTCCTTGAATTGTGTGCTGGATGGGGGCAGCCATGGTTTTGGAACAGCTATTTGTAGAATGATGATGATTCCAAACTCATACCCTGCTTTTGGGGGGCTTTTGCACCAGCTGAGTCTTGTGCTGGCATTAAATTTTGAACTGGGAGCCCTTTAGGAAGCATGGAATACAAACAGAGTATTTGACTGATTTTTCTGCACCATCAGTTGAGGCACACTCACACTTATTTTTATTTATGTTGTTCTTTTCCACATGCAGGTTATCCCCAACCAAACAGCCAATGTTTTCATGAGGTTTTGTTGTTGTTGTTGTTTTTTACTTTGACACCAAGTAAGCTTCTTCCACATACCCAAAATGGTGCAAAATAAGACTGTTAGTTACTTGTGCTACGTGGTGGAGTGCTGAGTTTTCAGTCAGACCAGAATCTGAAAAATCTAACTAGGCACCCATGAAAAGCTCTGCCCTACTCTTGGCTCTCACCAGTTTTCACAACAGCTGTCAGGAGATCCGTTTCTGATTAATTGATGCTTCAAGCTCGTCAGTCACAAAGTAGTGCGTCACAATAATTTGTCTGTGTGAGACAATAAGTAAATAAATGTATAAATAGTTTAATCATCCCCGCAGCTTTTAGGGTATTTTTCTACATCTTTTAATAAAATCAGAATCCTGATGAAAATAAAAATACACTGCTTTGTCAGATAAGGTGGAGCTCAATTTAAAACAAATTGCTATTTTCTGAAACATGCTTGGAATAGGATTAAAAACATGAATATGCAGCTGTGGGTGTTGTGAAAAACTTCCAAAGGCTGCTTGGAAACTCTTCCCTTCAATCTAATTATGGAATAGATGCAGTAAATAGACTTAATTTTAATAACTTGTGGCACATAATCTGATAAATGCCTCACTCGGTGTGTTGCTTTTCGAAGTACCACAGATTTGGCTTTGGAGGTACCAGCATTGAGTCCTGAAAAACAAAGGATTTATACAACACCACAGATGAAAATCTTGACAAATTCTAGCTGATAGGTGGCATTTCAAAGCCTGCTGCAATGTTGTGGTGTTTAAGGACATTTTTTTTCCCCTGTAGGCTGTTTTAGTGGGAATAAACCAAGGCAGGCCTATGGAATGAGGGATTTACAGTGGTCAGCACCTTGCCTGAGTGGCAGCTTCTGCTGGCTGCAAAATCTTCCACAGGGGTGATTTCTCTGGGAAAGCTGTGGAGTGAGTGAGTGAGGAGGTGAATTGACTGGAATGGAATCTGTGTGCAGGGGAGGAGCTGGCCATGGAGCTGGCCATGGCCTACATTAGAATAGAAACCAGGGAAGTGATCTGGTGTTGGGGGTGGGTGCTTGAACCAGAAATAACCTTCAGGCCTGAAGAAAGTACTCAACAGCAGCTTCCAGCTGGAGTGTCTGCACATAACATTACAAAACTTCAGGATTTCTGATTATTTTTTATTCCTTTTTACCTTTGTGACTTTCTCAAGTATTTGATGTTCATGAATTCTGATATTTGGGGTAGTGAGCTGTAATGGGCTGAGTTTCCGGTGCATCACAGTGATTTAGGATAAATATGGGCTGGTTGCATAGAAAGGATGAACTATGGAAATCAATCAGGTGAAGGTGAATAGTTCTACTTGCAGCTCCAAAGTTTTGGAAATGTTTTTCTTCCAGTTTAAGAAAGAAAAGCATGTGCTAACTGCAGCAAGGTGGGTGTGTGGTTGCTTTTTGTACTGTTTTTGCTGGCAAGCAATTTCCCAAAACTCTACAGCTGAAGATCGTCCTGTGGAACTGTTACATCCCTTAATTACAATTAGAAAGGAGGAGTTCTGTTCGTATGCAGGTTTTCCATCTGTAACAAATGACTGAGGAATCTACAGACAATCCATTCACTTCATATTACTGAAATAATGTACCATGCAAGTGGTAACTAATGAAAATTAGACTCCAGTAAGTGGGGACTTCAAAAACCTTTTTTAAGCCAAAATTTAGAACGTGAAAGGGAACCACAGATTCTTGTGGGATGTCCCATTGAAACTTCAGGGTGGTTTAGAGTGGGTTTTTGACCACACTAGTAGATGTGTCATTTTAATTCAGCACGACACTAGTAAAAATGAAATGTGTGTCTTTATAGAATCCTATTTGAAGTCATTACATTACTGATATTTTTGTTTCTCCTTAATCTATAAGTATATAAAGTTATGAACTGTTAGATTTTGGGTAGTGCCTCTCTTTAAAAGTTAAGGCAGTTAAACTGATTAAGGACGCTGGACAAGCCCTCATAACTTGAGTCTGATGATCTGTCAGACTTAAAAGTTAAGAATAGCAACCTCCTCTGTGAGTGCTGAGAGGACTTTCTTCATTTGATTTGGCTGTATCCTTTCTATGACTTGGGTTTTAAACTTGAGTTCCTTTAAAATTTGAACTGAAGAATCAAGAAAACTTGACCACTCCACTTGGCTTCAGTTCAGGAATAAATTCAAGGTATGAAAATGTAGCAACAAGGAACATTGCACTCCACTCTTAATATAGAAATCTTGCTTCTAAAGCCAGTTAATATTAGAGTTGAGCTAAAATGTTAGGTTTATAAAATTTAAGATAAAAGAGAATGTCATAACCTTCAGAAAGTTGCAGCTTGAGCAGAAAATGCTGTTAAATCTAATCAGAGCTTTGCTGCCCTTCAGGGGGATGTTATTGTGTTATAAGAGGATTTAACAGCCATATGTGTACAACAAAATCGACCCACTAGAGCAGAAATAAATGTAACAATTGAAAGTTTGGAGCTTGATTGAAAATCTCAGGAAGAGATGCACTCCACCAAAGGAAGCTAATGAAATCTGAATAAAATATGCCTGTGTTTCCTTTTCAGATAGCAGAAACATGTCTTCAGCTGCATTATGTTGAGATCAGGGAATTACTTTTCATTATGCTGAGACTTCTTTAGAAATACCAGAACAAATCTGTTGCATTTGCTTTCAAGATGAGCGTTCACTCAGGTAGTGGGATTCCAACAAACCTGTATTTCAACATTTAACCACTCCCTTCAGCTCAATCAGCTGCAGTGCTGAAGTGCTTTAGCATTGCCAGGTGTTGGAGCTTGCAGTTGAATAGAGTTGTTACATCACTCTGCCAGGTTACTGAACCTTTGAGAGAGTGAATGCCCTTGGTAGCTGAGAGTTCAAATAAATAATCCTCTGCACAGTGGATTTACACAGGTCAGATTCCTTCTTTGGCTTCAACGTTTGGTTTAAATTGGAATTAAGGAATTGTACAATGTGTAGAAAATAGCCCTCTCCAGCAAAATGATGGTGCTTCCATAATTTGTTACAGATGAATAGTTATCCATTTTAATGGATGAAGGATGTTAGGAGTACTCCATCACCTCACAGGACTTGCTAGTAATGTTCTGGGAGATGCCAGCTAGAGCAATTCAATCTCTCATTCCTGTCACAAAACTAAGAATTGAATTAGGTTGTCTTAAGTGTGCAGCTACAACACTGCCCTGCTGTAATTTCAGAACTCTGATGATTAATATTTTAATGTGTGACTCTTAGTTCCTTTTTGTCAAATGAACTGTTTCCAAGTCTTACATTGTTCATTGGATTGTTATCCCCAGCTTTATTGTTCTTTCAACATCCTTACACTGAGAAACACAGGTGGAATTGCTCATTGGAATGTGGCAGCCAATGGTTAGACTGGTCACCTCCAATAAGATTTTAAAATCCATTTAATGTATATGTTTGACTCAAGTTTCAGGCCACTCTAACCACTGGTTGCCTCCCCCTTTCACTCTGGCTTAGCCACTCAGACTGGAGAAAATAAACCCCATGGAG